GGGTGATGTCGGCGCGGCGTTGGGCAGTTTCGGGTAAGTAGAGCGTGGATTCCATGTGGGCCACGAAGTGGGATTCTCGGGCCAGTCGCATCCCGAGGTTCACGAGCGCGTCGTGGGTCCGCTTTGGGCCCCCGCCCAGGGTGCATCGGAGCATGTGGTTGGGCAGCCGGTTGTCTGGTAGCTCATGCTTGTCGCGGCAGTTGCATTTGCCGGGTAGGGAGTGCTGCAGGCCCATGCGGAAGGCTAGGGCCGTGGCAAATTGCCCCTTGCTCATGCTTAGGTCCGGGGAGAAGGGGATGGCGACCAGCCAGTCCCCTGCCCCTGGCCCGAGCAGGGAGAGGAGGCGCTGGGTGTGACCCAGGAGGGGGTTGAGTGGCATGTGTCTGGAGTCTGCCACTAGCCGTGCGTGCCTGGCCCCGTGTACCTCCAGTGCTAGGGCATGCTGGAGCTTGGCGCCAGGTTCGTCGCGCGGGCGGTTGAGTGTTGACTGCGCTGGTTCGGGGAGTGCCGCTTCCAGGCTGCGGAGCAGGTGGTGTAGGGGCGTTTGGGTGGTGAAGGGCGGAGTGAGGAGGTGGAGGAGGTTGGCGAGGGGTGAGGAGTCTGGGGGTTCCATGGAGCGGAGGAGGTCACCTGCCTGGAGTGCGGAGGCCAGGTAGCTGTAGCTGCCTTCCGCGGCGGGGTCAATGAGGCCGAGGCCTCCTATGGTGATCGGCAGAGTCGCCTGTCGCCAGAGGAGATCTCGGCCCTCAGCGTCCCGTGGCTGCTGGAGCTCGCATGACTTGAGCGCTGCTTCCAGCAGGGACTTCCCCCACTGCGTCCATTCCTCGGGGGGGAGGAGGTTGGTGGGGGTGGTTCGGAGGAGGTAGGATGCCCTCCTCGTGATGCAGCGGGTGAGGAGCAGCAGCGCAACTTGCGGGTGCAGTTGCTCTACCAAGGGGAGCGCTGCTGCCGCTTTTCCGAGCGTGCGGCGGATGATGTTCCCGCATCCGTGGGTGGTGCCGATGGGGCTACCCAGGACCTTGATTGCGTCATGGGTGAGTGGTACCCCAGCGGGGATGAGCGCGGGATCCACCGGTGCGGGTGACCACGCTGCGCACTTGCTGGCGTTGCAGGTGAGTCCGACCTCAGCCGCCCTTCCCGTGAGGGCATAGAAGGCGGCTGCGCATGCCGGCGGCGGGCCGATGATGGTCACGTCGTCGGCATATGCTAGGAGGAGGACGTCTGGGTACTCCTCCGTTGTCGTGCTCAAAGCCGGGTGGAGGGCGAGGGCAAACAGCATGGGGCCCAGCGGGTCGCCTTGCCGTACGCCCCGCTCGCTGATGAGCGGTTCAGCGCCGAGTGCGTGGTCGAGCAGCAGGCTCGACGGCCTTCCATAGGAGAGGCGGGTTAGTGGCAGCAAGCCCTTGAGCGGGCTGTCGCATAGGGCGCGGAAGAAAGCAATGCGCTCGACAGTGTTAAATGCGTTGGAGAAGTCCACCTGGAGGAGCAGGTGTTCGGGGTGCTGTTCGAGGTGGGTTCTTGTTGCGTGCACCGCTGTTTCGCCCCCTCCCTTCATCGCCACTCCGAACTGCAGGGGCGCGAAGTGGGCTTGGGCCAGGGCCGTCGTGAGGTGCAGGCTGGCCTTGCCGAAGAGGTGTCGTAGGCACTCGCCGATGGCGATGGGCCTGGTGCCGCCGTCAGGCTTGGTGAATGCCAGCAATCTCGAGGCGGTGAGGAGGTGTGCTGCCTCTAGCGGCACTTGCCCTGCAAGTGCCGCGTTCGTCACTTCTGTGAGCAGATTCAGGACGGCAGCGTTCGACGCGGCAGCGTCCCTCAGATGTTCAAAGCACATTCCGCTGGGCCCCGCCCCAACCCCATTCGGGCTGCGTCGTAGTATGGCTTTGAGCTCCCGTGGTGTGATGTTGAGACGCGGCGGCTACGGCGCTAGAACGGCGTCAGTGGGTGTTGTGCTTGTGAATGTCGTCCAGTTGGGGAGGGCGTGTTCGGCGGCGGGGTGTTTGTCTCGGAGGGCGTTGAGTGTCTCCAGGGTGGGTTCGCACACCGGGGTGGATTCCAGGGCTTGGAGGGCCTTCCGCAGGTTCCCGCGTTTTGTGAGTGTTTCCGCTCGGGCTAAATGCCCGGCGGTGTCGTTCGCGTGACGTGGGGGTCGTGGTAGTGAAATCGAGGTCACGGCCTCGTCGTACAGTGACTCCCAGGCGCCAATGGCGAATGTGCGACAACGTCGCAGCATTCCGTCCCAGTCCGGCTTCCTCGTCGACGTAGTCGCGAGGGTTAGGCGAGGGAGAAGGAGTAACAGGCGCCAACCTCCTCTGCTGTCCCTGTTACGCGCGAGGTGCAGCAGTGGTGTCAGCAGGTAGGACGTGAACTCCGCGAGGATTTCGCGCGGTAGGCGACGTGCCAGGGGTGGGAGCCTGGAGTCGCGGAGCACAGTCATGTCCCATTCGCACACTTTGGCGAAAAGTTCGTCATTCTTCGCCAACGCCAGAGGGGATTGTACCCGCGCTGCAGGGGTTGGTCTGCAGGCGACTGCCGAGCCACGGCGGGTGTTGGATGTGGCGGCTCGCCGGTTGGATTGGCCGGGCCGCACATTTGCGTCTCGGGCGGGGGAGTCCTCCAAATCTCCCTCGCCTGGGGCGCCTTCCCAGTATACCCCGATTGGAGGGGTATAAGTGGGGTCGTTTGCGTGCTGAATTTCATCGTCCTCATCATCAGCTCCCTCCGTGTTCCCTTCGGCTGCTCCCCGCGTAGCTCCTCCTCCTGGTGTGTCTGCAACTGGAATATCAGCATTTAGCCAGTTTTCCACCCCTCGATCCGTCCCCCCGCGTCTGCCTGCTTCCGTCCCCTTCTCTCCGCTAGCGTTGGGTGCTGCAGCGGCTGGGGTTGTTCTCCGGCGCCGTTCTTCGCGTAGTAGACGCGCGGCGACACCGCGGAAGGTTGCTGCGCTTGTCGACGCTCGCCCGAGTCCTTGTCCGCCCCTTGTTCCTTTGTGTCCTCGGGTTGTGGTTCGCCCCCGCTCCCCCCCCGGGGCCGCGGTTGTACCTGCGCGGGCCGTGGCTCGCGTGTGTGGGGCTCTGCTTCTTTCCGGCAGCGCGAGAGATGACGCAGGGGTTGCTCTTCTCCCCCTCGCGCCTGCCCCTACGCGAGGCGGAAGCGTCCCTGTCGCCGGAGGGTTCTCCTTCCGGCGTCTCGCTGGCTCTGTCGCCAACGTCCCAGTTGCGTTTGGAGTTTCGGCAGCAGCAGGTCCAGGTGGCGGCGATCGCGAGCGCTCTCGAGCAGCTTCTGCGGCTGCCTCGGCCCGCTGTTGGCGACCGGGTCGCGTGTTCTCCGCCGTCGCCTGTGCCCGCGCCCGCGATTGTACGACAGGGTTGCGGGGGAAGTCCCATGGATCGCTCCCCGCGTCGCCTGTCTTCCATGTCGCCGGCTCAGCCGTCTCGTTTCCGTCTCCGTCTCAGCTTCCGCTGTCGCCCCTTCCGGCCCCCCCGGCTCCTCCTCCGTCGACGCCGTTCTCCGGCGGTCCCGGCTCCTCTCCCCCCGGGGTCCTCCATCCGCCTCCTCTGCCTCCTCCAAGGTTGCCAGCGGGACCACCAGCCGCTGTTTGACACGACGTCGTATCGGGTCAGGGCGTGCCCGCGGGGTCCCCGTCACTGCCGTTTCGTCCGACGAAGCGTCCCTGCGGGGGCGCCGCGGCGGGCTCTCGGGCAGGGTCACCTCAGTCCATGCTGCCCGGAAGACGAAGGGACCGCTCTCCGACTCTCTCCGGTCGTCCTCAGGGGTCGGGTTTGCGGGCGGGGCGGGGTATGCCGCCGACATCAACGGCTGCGCTCGGCGACCCGCCGCCGCTTCCTCGTCCACCGGTCCATCTGACGCCGCCGCAGGCGTTCTCGCCAGTTGAGGCGATGGCCGGTCGCATGTATTGGCGTGGTTGCGGAGGTGCTGGACTGTCTCCACCCACTGCCACAGAAGGTACCTCCCCGGAAACCTGAGGCGGGTCGGTCATGGCGGCCTGCGATGTCTCGCCGCCAGCAGCGACGCGCGATGGAGGCCGCGTCGCCACTCCTCTGGCGGCTGGCCTATGGGTTGCCGCCAGGAGGAGAGGCGGGGGAGCTGGATCCTGCCCCTCGCGCTGTTGATGAGTTGAATCGGTCGCTCGTGGCGAATCAGCGCCCGGCGATCTTGGCCGCTTGCGCGGCGGTGCTTCGGGCGTTGGAGAGTCGGGCCGAGGCCCTTGTCCCACCGTCGGCGTTGGAGGTGTAGTAGGTGGGGGGTTGTCTGGCGTGTAGGCCAGGTCCCCGCCATTGTGCGCTGTGGGTGGCGCCGTAGCCATAGGCTGTTTGCTAGGTTGTAGCCTCCTGTGGAGGCATGCTTGTATGCTGTAATGTGCCTGGTTTTGGAGTGGATACCTGTCCCCTCCCCTTCCCTGCGCTCCTGCGCGGCCGGAGGCCGCGCCGCGAGCGACGGCGGCCGAAGGCCGCCGGCGCGAGCGCCGCTGCAGGAACCCGAGGAAGAACTCAACTCGAAACTAAATAATGAACTCTAGGATGGGTGGGAGAGCATTATATACCATGGGCTCTCTCTCTCTCTCTCTCTCTCTCTCTCTCTCTCTCTCTCTCTCTCTCTCTCTCTCTCTCTCTCTCTCTCTCTCTCTCTCTCTCTCTCTCTCTCTCGCTCGCTCGCTCTCTCTCTCTCTCTCTCTCTCTCTCTCTCTCTCTCTCTCTCTCTCTCTCTCTCTCTCTCTCTCTCTCTCTCTCTCTCTCTCTCTCTCTCTCTCTCTCTCTCTCTCTCTCTCTCTCTCTCTCTCTCTCTCTCTCTCTCTCTCTCTCTCTCTCTCTCTCTCTCTCTCTCTCTCTCTCTCTCTCCTCTCTCTCTCTCTCTCTCTCTCTCTCTCTCTCTCTCTCTCTCTCTCTCTCTCTCTCTCTCTCTCTCTCTCTCTCTCTCTCTCTCTCTCTCTCTCTCTCTCTCTCTCTCTCTCTCTCTCTCTCTCTCTCTCTCTGCCCTGCCAGCCGGTGACCTGATCGATGGGCAGATGGCAGCGGCGCGGGAGAGGCAGAAGGCGGTGGTGCGGCGGCTGGCAGAGGAGGGCGGGCTGGCAGGGCGCGTGGGGGAGAGCATGGTGCGCGCGCTCACCACACTCAAGGACGCCGCCAAGTAGCAGGTGGTGGACCACTCCCCGTGGGAGCGTGGAGTAGGTAGCTTCGGCCATGCTTCCCTCCCAGCATGCCGCATGTGTGCGGGCAAGCCACTGTGTGCTGAGGAGACTCCGTGAGAGGCCTTCAAGCCTGTTCCTACCACCCCTTATCATACCTTATGATCCGACTCCTGTGCACCATACTGAACCATACCGGTACTACTAAATTGCGTCAATCTGCACTGTACAGTACCGCACGCATCTGACTAGAAGTGTAGGATCACGCCCTTAGAGCATGAGCAACCTCGGCGGACACTAAATGAAACCACTTGGATGTTCATGACAATTTGTATGCTTTATCACGAGTGACAACCCCAAGGCGATCAAAGCCATGCTTTATTGAATTAACCAATAGCCAACAAAACAGAAGTTATACAAGTGACGACTGCACTAGAGTCAAGGTCGATAGCCTTGCTGCGGGGGAGGTGGATAGGGGCCTGGTTGAGACGAGTAACCGCCCTGCTGTGGCGGGTTGCCGCCCTGCTGAGGGGGGTAACCGCCTGGCTGCGAAGAAGAGTAACCACCTTGCTGCAGGGGGTAGCCACCCTGTGGATTAGGATAGCCACTTGCTTGATTAGGGTAACCGCCCTGCTGAGGAGGGTAACCCCCCTGTTGTGGGGGGTAACCACTGTGCTGGCTGTACCCGCCTTGGGGAGGTGGATACCCCCCTCCCTGCTGAGAGAACTGGTCTGGAGCTGGGGGAGCAGAGGGGGCGGACGGGGCTGATGGAGCGGTGGGGCCAGAGGGAGGGGAGGGATAGCTGGGGGGAGGGGCACCGGGGTATGGCTGCTGCTGCTGCTGGTAGTAGGGGGGCGGCTGTTGCTGCTGGGAGTACGGCTGCTGCTGCTGCTGCGGGTACCCCATGCCCATGGCAGCAGCTGCATCCATCTCCAAGACCCGCGGCGGTGGAGGCAGGGGTGGCGTGGGTGGCATGCGACCAATGCGCTTGCTGCACACACGTGGAGAGGGGCAGGGATGCGTGGGAAGCGGAATGGGAGAAGAGAACAGGACGAGCGACAAGCGACATGAGGCAACTGGCAACCACTGAATGTGAATGCGGGTGCCCACAAGCCCACCATTCCACAGCTCGCCCACCCACCCCACTGCGCCATATGCTCACGCCACACACCCAGCAACCAACCGAACGCGCCCATCTCGCTGCACGCGCTGAAGTGCAGAGGCGCATCCATGCGCACTCAGCTGTGTGGGCCTACCTGCCACCATCCCTCTTCCCCCTCACCCATCAAGCACTTCTCTCGCCCCATCACAGCTTGAACTGCCGCCGCGCCTCCATGAGTCCTCAACCGCAAGCTCCTGCCTACCTTCACCCTCTCCACCCAACGCGTCAGCAGGAGGACTCACCCCAGCGCGCCCATCTCGCTGCACGCCTTGAACTGCAGCGGCACCTCCATGAGCGCCCTCAGCGAGAACTGCACCGCCTTCTGCTCGTGCGACGCTGCAGACGCCATTATCTGCGAACAGTCCACAAACTGATATGGGGGCGGGGGGGGGGAATATGGGGGGACGGGTATGGAAGAGCAGGGATGTGCAGTGAGAGCGGACGGCAGTATAGAGGTGGAGAAAACAGGTGCAGGGAAAGGTTAACACGGTTGCAGGCAGGAACGACGACAGCACGTGTTAAACAAATGGTGGAATGCATGCTTTTGAGCTTGCACGTGTACGAGAATTGTTTGGTCTGCTCTTGGCAGGGAGCATAAGAACATCGAACAGGCGGAGAAAAGTGCTTCTGTGACGGCGACTCAACGGCAGGCGGCAAGCAGCGACCTGGAAGTTGTCAAAGTTGCGCGCGGGCAGCCCGTCGTCAAACTCGTGCATCACCTCCCACGGCCCGTCGCCCACGCCCACCAGGATGATCGACAGCGCGTAGTTGCTGGCGGGGAGAAGGAGGTGGCGGTGCGGCGTGGTAACAAGGGCGGGAAGAGCAGAGGTACAACGGAAAGAGACGGGGTGGAGGGGATGGGTGGGGGAGTGAGTACCTGGAAGTTGTCAAAGGCCCTGGCGGGCAGCAGGTCGTCAAAGCCCTGCATCACGTCCCACGGCCCATCGCCCACGCCCACCAGCACGATCGACAGCGCGTAGTTGCTGGGGAGAGGGGGGGGGGAAGGGGGTTGGTTGGGGAGGGGGGGACGAGCAATGGAATAGAGTTAGGTGGTAGTGGGAGAGAGCAGAGAGACGACAGTGAGGAAAGTGGGTGTGCGCAATGCAAGATGAATGAGTACAGAGAAGAACACACGAGATGTCCGGAGCATCCCAATCAGCACAGCCCCACGGAACAGCAGCAGTTGAGTGCATTGCCCAGCCACGTGCTGATGCCTCCCTGGCGTCCCTCCTTCCCATCCATCCCACGTGGCAGCCACTCTGGCATCCCACCTGGCAAGTAGCATCTTTGAGAACCCCCTACACCCCACCTGGCAAGTAGCATCTTTGAGAACCCCCTACACCCCACCTGGCAAGTAGCATCTTTGAGAACCCCCTACACCCCACCTGGCAAGTAGCATCTTTGAGAACCCCCTACACCCCACCTGGCAAGTAGCATCTTTGAGAACCCCCTACACCCCACCTGGCAAGTAGCATCTTTGAGAACCCCCTACACCCCACCTGGCAAGTAGCATCTTTGAGAACTCCCTACACCCCACCTGGCGGCCACGATGGCGTCCACTGTGGCGCGCTCCTGCTTGCTGAGCTGCCCTGGCGGCACGTCCGCACTGCGCGTCACCTGGCGCGGCGTGGCGTGGCGTGGCACACACAAACGAGGGATGCACACAGGTTGCAGGAGAAGGGCGGGAGGAGAAGGGAGGGGAGAGGGATATAAAGTTAGTGAATAAGGGGGCAGGCGAGGTGAGGGAGGGAGGGCAGGAGAAGGGGAGGGAAAGGAACTTGGAGGAAAGGGGGAACTTGGTGGCTTAGAGGAAGGCGCAGAGAGGCACAAGTGGGGAGATGGGGGAGAGGAGTGGAGAAACCATGCGGGATCTCGGGGAACAAAGTCTCCCTTCCCTCCACTGCCCTCCCTCGCACCTGGCCGTCTGCAATGATGAGCAGCACGTGGTACTGCCCGCCGCTCTCCTCCACTATGCGCACCGCCGCCTCTATGGCCGGGGCGAAGGATGTGGGGCCTGAGAGGGCGCGAGCGAGACGAGATGGGAGCATTGGAGGTTCGGACGGGACAATGAGAGGAAGGCTCTGGTTTTCAAAGGAACAAATCTAGGAAGGACTTAGCGCATAGAAGAGCAGTACGAGGGGAAGGAGAGAACAAGAGGGGACAACCGTTCACCTGAGAGCTTGACGTGCGGCGCTATGGTCCGGTAGCGACTGAGCGCCTCTGCTATGCCCTGGCACGGGCGGTTGTCGCGATTGAAGGAGAAGACTGCCTTGTCGTGCGTGGAGGCTAGTGGGGGACGGAACGGAAGACGGTTGTGTGGAGGACAGTGAGAAGTGAGACGGAGGGGGCGTTACATTGTTACGCTCACTCACATGTGCCTCTCGTATGAGTATCCACACACGCACACCCGCCATGACCTAGACTCGAAGCACGCAGCACACGCGCAACCAGCAGCGGCAGCACAGCAGCACACAGAAGCACACAGCAGCACAGCAGCACACAGCAGCACAGCAGCACAGCAGCACAGCCGCACAGCAGCACAGCAGCACACAGCAGCACAGCAGCACAGCAGCACAGCAGCACAGCAGCACAGCAGCACAGCAGCACAGCAGCACAGCAGCACAGCAGCACAGCAGCACACAGCAGCACAGCAGCACAGCAGCACAGCAGCACAGCAGCACAGCAGCACAGCAGCACACAGCAGCACAGCAGCACAGCAGCACACAGCAGCACAGCAGCACAGCAGCACAGCCGCACAGCAGCACAGCAGCACACAGCAGCACAGCAGCACAGCAGCACAGCAGCACAGCAGCACACAGCAGCACAGCAGCACAGCAGCACAGCAGCACAGCAGCACAGCAGCACACAGCAGCACAGCAGCACACAGCAGCACAGCAGCACAGCAGCACAGCAGCACAGCAGCAGCACAGCAGCACAGCAGCACAGCAGCACAGCAGCACAGCAGCACAGCAGCACACAGCAGCACAGCAGCACAGCAGCACACAGCAGCACAGCAGCACAGCAGCACACAGCAGCACAGCAGCACAGCACACAGCAGCACAGCAGCACAGCAGCACAGCAGCACAGCAGCACACAGCAGCACAGCAGCACAGCAGCACAGCAGCACAGCAGCACACAGCAGCACAGCAGCACAGCAGCACAGCAGCACAGCAGCAGCACAGCAGCACAGCAGCACAGCAGCACAGCAGCACAGCAGCACAGCAGCACAGCAGCACACAGCAGCACAGCAGCACAGCAGCACACAGCAGCACAGCAGCACAGCAGCACAGCCGCACAGCAGCACAGCAGCACACAGCAGCACAGCAGCACAGCAGCACAGCAGCACACAGCACGGACCATCGCCGAAGCCGAAGGCGGGGATGAGGTTGTCTTCGTCGAAGGGCTCGAGCGTCTCGCCGATGATCTGAATGGCCTGCTCATAGGGGTTCATCTGCGGGCCTATGGCGTGCAGACAGCGCCCACCGAAGGTGTACTTGCCTGGCAGTAAGAATGGGGAGTGGGCAAGGGGGGCAGGGGGAAGGGGGCAGGGGGCGATCTGAACGGCCTGCTCGTGCGGGTTCCGCTGCGCCCCCACAGCGTGCAGGCAGCACCCAGCGGAGGTGCGCCCCCTGGTGGAGAAGGGCGGGGATGAACGGGCGGACAGAGGTGAGCCATGGGCAGACGGCTGGCGGTGGGATGCGGTGCCAGGCGCGTCACCGCATGAGGACGAGTGGCGAGCAAGGGGCGCGGCACATGGCGCGCAAGGACAGGACAGCGTGGGGGGCGAGGCATCACCAAGGAAGCAAAAAATCGCCAAGGAAGGGGATCTGACCCGTCCACTCGTTGCTCTTGGTGAAATCAACGGCGACGATGAGATTGCTGGACTCCAGGCCCACCTCTCGGAGCTTCTCCTGCACCTGCGGACACGCGAGCACGCATGCACCGATGCGCGCACGTCAGCGAGCATTCAGACACGCGCGGAGCACAGCAGCAGCCACGCAGCAGGCAGCAGTGGGCATGCGAGAGGCAAGCACACCCTGGGCGGGCGTGGGCGCACCTGCTGGATGCTGTGGAAGGAGTCCGGGATGAACCCGTACTTCTGCTGAAACGACATCTGCTGCCTCCCCGCCCCACCCGCCCCAGGCTGCGGCGCCCCGCCGTAACCCCCCGCCTGCCCATAGCCCCCCGCTGGTGCGCCATAGCCCGCGGGGGGCGGCGCTGCTTGCGGGTAGCCGCCCTGAGCGTACCCCGGGGGGGGATAGCCGGGCTGGCCAGGCGGTGGCTGCTGCTGCTGCTGCGGCGGCGGGTGCTGCGGCTTGCCGCCCTTCTTGAAGAAGCCGAACATGAGGACCAGCGGTGGCCGGGCTTCAGTCGGAGCTCAAGCACCACCGCGGCAAGGCTTTCTACTGAGAAAGAAAAACAACGCGAATGGGCAAGTGGTAGTCGAAGAAAGGCGATCGAACGAATGAACGTAGTCGAGCGAGGTTAGTGACACAAGGGACGAGATCGGAAGTCGCGGCCGCTAAATAACGCCGCAGTCGAAGGGCGGTACTATTGGCGTCACGCTGTCGCGACTTGAGGAACAGTCGAAAACGAAACGAATCGGCCAATCAAGCGGATCAAAGCGGCCAGGACGCGTTTATCAGTTACGGCGCGGAAGCAGCGCACACGGGCTTCATTCTCACGGCAACTGATCGCGGCTGCGCTGGCAGGCACGCGCCATGCACTTTCTCTCGAGGTGCCAGCCAGCACAACAGCAAGGATTTGGTTTCGTGCAGTGCGGTGCTGCGGAGTGCTGTGAACTCCCTTGCCAATGTGCCCCTAAAATTGAAATCAAATGCCACCCAAAAGTGACTCTTGCTATGGGTAGATTGGTAGTGAAATAAGGTGACAACCAGCTGAGTAGCCTACTTTCTACTTGTGAGAGGTGTACCTGAAAGCGGAGCTTCACATAACATGCCCTCACAATCACATTGACCATCCCTATGTTTCAATTTATACATATATATTATATGTATAGTTATAGGCTATATAGGTAAGTGCTCTTAGAGAGTACAACACCAACTGATATATCCCACCTGTATGCCTTGCTACAGTTCACTTCGCTATTCTAACATGGTATCACTCTCATAATAAAGCAATGACTATGAGGCATACAGGGAGGTTTTGTACTATGGTGCTGTACTCTCTTTGAGCATGCTGTCAAAGATATATGTGAAATAAATCGTATGGTGTTGTAGTAGACTAAGTATAAAACTGCAAACACGAACACTTGGAAAACCCTCAAGTGTTGGTCCAGGATCTTTACTAGAATGGTAGACTAGTAAGACAGCGGAAGTCTTGTAAAATGTAAAGGTCGAGGTTGAATAACCTGAGTACGTGAACTTGTGGATAATCAAAGTTAATAATGAAAAGACCTAACAAGGATTCTATAGTTATAGGAAAAGTACCTATTCGCTAATGTACCTGTTTGTCACTATCGCGCTATGCGCTCTAAACGATATTGAAGAGGTGCGACTGTTCGCGTGACTGAAACGACAGTCCTATGACGAGCGCTATTTGTTGACGTCATTCTACGGACTTATGTTCTACAGTAAGATTCAACACTATCTACAACTAATCGACTTACAGAAATGCTAAGTATCAATTATATCACAACACTCCTCTTCATTTCTGGAATGTCGATAGTGTCACTTCTTGAAGATCCCGCAAAGTTTGTTACAGTACTGGAACTTCTGTCGTGTCAGCTTCTTCGTGAGAAAATCGACAGCCATTTCGTTGGTCGAACACTAAACCAATCGCATCCTCCCCTTCTCGACTTCATCCTTGACGAAAAAGTAACGTAGAGAAATATGTTTCGTCCTGATGACGAAACCAGTCTGATGCGCGATGCGAATTGCACTTTGATTGTCGCACTGTAGGGTAAACTGGGTAGTTGTCGTCAGCTTCGCTTCTTCCAATAGTTCCTGTAGATAGAATCCTCCGCGTGTTGCTGTGCATACAGCAATAAACTCAGCTTCAGCAGAGGAGAGAGCAATCAACTCCTGCTTCGTCGAATTCCAAGAGATAGGTCCGATAGGTTCCAGTCGATAGATGAATCCAATGCGCGACCGTCGATTAGTAGAGTCAGCAGCGTGATCAGCGTCGACAAAACCGTGTAGGTATAGTGTTTTGCAACCGATGACGTTGTAGACTAAACCGACGTCAGGTGTTGAGATGAAATACCGAAGCGCGCGGAGAAGATCAAGCTGATGTTCTTCTTTGGGGCGGCGAAGAAACTGAGCGAGCTGACTGGCCACGTAAGCTAGATCGGGACGACATGTGACAGCGGCGAAGAGTAGATAGCCTAACTGCTGTTGATAGATCTGTAAACCGATTGAATTTAACAGTGCAGTGTTCGGTTTGTGGTCAGTCGGTAGTGAGCGGTACGGTGTAGAGACTGTAGTAGGTGTGAGGTTGAAGCGGGCAGCAAGCGTTGCTGCGTACTTCGAAGCGGTGAGATGAATAGTCGTCGGTGAACAGGTAACGTTTAGACCAAGAAACTGTGAGACTGTTTCAGTGACGGTAAGCTGTAGAGTTTTCTGTAGTTTCAGTATGAAGATATCAGCGAGAGAATCGGTAGTACTGACGAAGAGGATGTCGTCGACGTAGGCGACAAGCAAAATATAGTTGCTGCCATTGGTCAGTAGATACATTCCCTGGTCATGCGGTAACTGACGAAATCCGGCAGTGATCAGCTGCGAGTGTAGGTACTGTTGCCAGAGTCGTGGTGCCTGTTTAATGCCGTACAGGGATTTTCGTAGACGGCATACGCTCGGTGGGTTAGTAGCATAGGAATGCGGGTACTCTACCAGGATGAGTGCGTCGACGGGCGCGTAGAGAAACGCATTTGATACGTCGATTTGTCGAAGGCGAAGATTACGGCAGGCGGCGACACAGAGTAAAATCCGAACGCTTGTATGTCGCCCGACAGGAGCAAAAGTTAGTTCATAGTCGATGCCGTAAGTCTGCTCGAATCCACGGACAACCCATCGCGCCTTGGATTTCTCAAACGACCCATCTGCATTAGTCTTGACGCGGAAGACCCATTTTCCGGTAAGTACCTTCTTTCCTTTTACTTCTGAAGTCGGTATTAAATCCCATGTTCAGCGATTCTTGAGAGTTGCTAGCTCTCTGTCCATGGCTTCGCGCCATTTCTCTCGGTGAGGACTCGTAAGAGCTTGTCGAACAGTTTTCGGTTCAGGTATCTTACTGTTGTTGCACTATACTGCGACTGCGAATCCCAGTATCTGTAATCCTGTTTCTGTAAAACGCGGACGTTCTTCGTTTGCACCTGCGAAATTTTCTTCTGGTCCTTCTTCCCCCCCAATTTCGTCAGGTGTAACATGAACTGCTTCGTCGGAGACGACGGGCATCGGCTGATGTTGGCGATCGCGTTCGTAACTGAGGTGAACTTCGCGAACATCATCTTGATCAACATCTGCAAGAGGAATGAATTCAGGTATGCTGGTCGAAGTGACAGGTTCGGGAATGTCTGTTGCAGCAGCTTCGGAAGCTTCAGAAACATCCTCGTCCTGTACATCAGCTTCGGCTTCGTCAGTTGCAAACGCACGCGAGCCTTGGAACAGCCTGGCAGGGTTGGCAGCTGCTGACTGGTGCGCACGAAAAACGGGCAAGGTGAGTCTTTCATAGAAAAGACAATCACGTGAGGGGACGATTTGGTTGGAGCGGAGATCCAAAATCTTCCACGCGTGATACAGTTTTTCGATGCCGAGATGTAACCCCCATTTTGCTCGTTCGGAAAATTTGCCAAGTGCTGCAGTTGGAGGATGAAACTGCACAACACACCCGAAAACTCGTAAAAGTTTGGTGCTTCCCACTGTACGTGTCCACTGCAGGTGTGGAGAAGAGAACTCGGGCAGGGACGTTGAAGAAAGAAGATTGTGTAACAGCACGGCGTGGTCCATCGCATATGGCCAAAAATGCGATGGAAGGGCTGCCTGTGTCAGCAGAGCATGCATCTTCTCCTGTAGAGTTCTGCTCATCCTTTCTGTTGATGTGCATGCGGCAGTGCTTGCTTCCGTTTGATGCCGAGTGTCTGCAGGTATTCTGTCAAAGTATTGCTGGTGTACTCCCCTGCACCATCACTCTGAAATTCATGCAGTTTCACGCCTGACTCTCGTTCAGCTACAGCGAGCCATGCGACGAAGACGGAGTGAGCGTGATGGCGCGCAGGAAGGTTTGCTGTCCAGACATAGCGTGTAGATGCTTCGATGAATGTGATGACGTACTTCTCGTCTTTAGGTCCTGCCTCAGGTAAGTTTAGCATGTCGCTGTAGACTTTCTGCATCAGTTTATAGCGTGTTGATCCGGGAAAATGACTGGGAAACGGATCATGCGTAAGATTGGCAACCGGACACGTGGGGCAAACCGTGGGACGGGGCTGCGGCTTCATCTCCGTGCCATCAGGTAATAGAAGAATGTTTTTATCCACAACTGCTGCTCGTATTGAATGATTAAGAATCCCCTGTGATGGATGTCCTAACCGTTGATGCCATATATCTTCTGGTGCTTTGTGTCCTGATGATCGCAGGTAGAAATCGGCGTTAGTATAGAAAGAAGAAATGATAAAAGGAGATAGCGATGGTGATTGGTTAACATCTCCTTCAACGAAACGTGTAAGTGATAATGAAATAGTTGAAGGTGCGGCTGTAGGTGGGATTGCAACTTCTGATACTGCCTCTGTTGATGTTGTGGCAGGCGTTTCGGCAACAGCTACTGTTGAATACGGCGGCTCAGCGACCTCTTCCTTTTCGGCTTCTTCAACGACGTCAGGTTCATCAGCTGCAAGACCACTTATTTCCCCCCAAAGTGGTGCTGGAGTTCCTTGGAAGGCTGCACGGGTATTATAAAACGTTCGCCACGCGGTGGCGCTTTCATCGGCAGTATTGAACTCCCAGGTATCCAACGCGGTAAGTACGGCGGCTGCAGTTTGAGAAGTCGTTGGTACAGTAGTTGCTCGAAAGTCAATATCTACGTGTTGATAATCTGTTTCTTCTGGGTGATCCCAGGGACCAAGTGCAAGGACGCGTTCAGAATCACCAGAAGTTCCCTGTGCTGCGAACTGAAGAACGGACACGCCATGTTGAGTGGCGGCACGACCAAGGTAAGTATTCGTTGAACTGTGCCAGAGCTCCTGATCCATCGTCTCACAAATTGCCCTGTGTTCGGATCTTGTGTGCCAGAAGCTGAGCTGTGGAAAGAAGATTGAATCCAAGGCCAGCGACAATAAGAACATTGGTAACATGTAGTGAGTATCCCGTGTCGATAGATTCGAGCATGACACTCCCAACTGCTCGTGCCATAATGGTTTGTCCGTTTGCGACTGTTACAGGTATCGGACGACGAAGTGGGCGCTGATTGGTAATGAAGCTGGTTTCTGCGGAACACATGTGCCAACCGCAGCAGCTGTCGAGATACCAAGTATTCGGACCTGAAATTATTCGAGCAAGGTTAGCATAAACTTGAGGTAAAGGAATGCCTTCAGCACTTGTGGTTTCTTCAAGGTATGTCTCGAAATCTGTTTCTGAAACATCAACTGTTGTAACACATCCGAAAACTCCTTTTCCGGATGTGGCAGATGCGAAGACCGGCGGGCGATGCTGAGACGTCGACGGATTCTGCAGAGATTTCGGCA